CAAATTCGTATAACATCCGCTCAATTACGACGAAAATCTCCCAATTCGAGATGAAAGAATATTAGATAATCTCCATATATATCAAAGAATTCCAAAATTTAAATCGCCCAGATAATTCGTTGCGATTTGGGATCGTAAATATGAATGATTGCTGCTTTGGTCTTCATCATTATTTCGGAATGCAGATCGCACGATTTGAATTTCAAGGACCAAATCGTCCCTTAAATCGTTGGATTATCTTCATCCCTTTGGAGATAGCATCCAAGACCTGGCAATACGTATACAATTGAAGACGTCATGAAGGATTTTCGGCAACTCTCAGGCTTGACCCGCTTTGCGGATCCATAATTAAGAGGATCGGAATGAAATGAATCAACGAATATATATTGGATTCAGGAGACGATTCAATATCTTATTCAGATTTGGGATAAATCATTTCATCTATTTAGATCCCCATTTTCTTCTTCTTATGGATGCCCAAATTTTTCCGAATATAAATAAAATTCGCCTAGGATGATCCGGATGAATTATTTCTGGCACAGAAAATTCATTTATGAATGAATAGAATCATATGAAATATCGAGGACGGTTTTTACCATTATTTGAATTATCATATCATCAATTTGAGGTCGTGGTTTGAGCTACGCTGGAATTAAATGAATTTTCTGATATTGAAAATTAATCATTCAATGAAGGGTCTCGAAATAATATTTGACGGGAATCCTCTCAGAAGCTTAGACTATATAAAGATCAAAATGATTTTTGCAGATCTTAAAATTATATATAGGAAGATCCCTTCAATAATATATATTTGATAGATTCTCCTTCCAACAATAAATTCATATTGGATATCGAAAAAATCATTCAATGAATCTCTCAGAAAAGAGGCAATCGTTTCAGATAGATCGCAGAGGATAAGATAGATAATTAAATGATATTTTCGAGAGTTGGAAAAAAATGCTAATAAATATTGGGATGAATGGGGACCAATAAGATCTATAGATATTTAGAATATATTTATAAGAAAGATCTCAATAAATATTTGATGAGATCCCTTTCGGAAGCTTAGAAGAGACGAAGGCTAAAATGAATTTTATAGATCTCCAAAAATCGTATGGAGAGCCTCCTCCCAAGCTTAGATTGGATAAGCGGCAATGCCGGAGCTGGAAAAATCAATTGGGAAGAAATCCTCCAAGAAAGATCAGGATCAATATTTCAATTTAGATTAGAAAAAAAAAAGATTATTGAAAGATTATTAAAATAATCGAAAATGGCATTTATGCCCGATTATGATTTTCTATAGCCTAGAAAAATATCCAGCGATCAATAATTGGATCTAGATTTTCTCATATTTTTAAATCTTCAAAATTCTCAAAGAGCCAGGATTGGGACTAGTAATAAATGATAGATATAGGAATAAGGGCTCGCCGAGCTCGCAATAAATCGTCAACAAAACGCTTCAAATCGCAGAGGATGATGCAAACCCCTGCCATATGCATATTTGAGAAATTACGAGGAGAGAAGATCATATGGAGTCCCAACACCTATAGGCAGGGAAGCGGTAATCAATTAAAATATCAAAAAAGATAGAATAAGATAATTAGGAAATTTCTAGGGCAATAAGATTGCAATGAAGAGAATTTTGAGATTGATTCAAGGATTTATTCAGACCTAGGAAAAATCATTTAATCTATTTGAGACCTCGATTATCTTATGAATATTCTATCGAGAATTAAGGCTTATCGCGTAGAGATCAATTCTATATCTATCTATATAGAGTCTAAATGATTTTTTCTAGATTCCATCAAATTCATTTAAGAGTGTCCTCCATTAGGCGGAAGATATAAATATTCCTATTTCTCCTATAATCTTCAGAAATATCTATCTAATTCATCTAATCATTATGATTCGGATCTTTGATAACTCGCAATGATTTTAAATCGCATTTTAGCGACTAAATTTCAAGAGAATCTAGATTTCAAATATTATTAAATAGAATTAGAAATAAGAGAGAAATTAATCAATATCTTATTCTCAAGAATTTTTTCTCCTTCTTAATCATAGATTTAAAGATCAAGGAAAATATAAATAATAGTTTCTCTTCGAGAAAAATAAGTTTTCCTTTCTTAATCCGAAATAGATATTTCAAAGATCAAAGATATTTTAGATTCGATTGAAAGATTAAGAGAATATATTCTTGAAATCGATATTCTCTAATAAGAAAAGAATATAATATTAGAAAGAGAAAATATTAAAATATCAGAAGATTCTCTATCTATATCATAAAAAAAAAACGAATCAATTCCCTCTTCCGATATATAATCGTAATATCTTCTATTTCAAAATATAATTCTCTAATTATAATATATATATTATATATATATATCTTTTCTTAATATAAAGATAAATTCTCTATTATTATATTTATTCTAATAATATAAGATAATTGAATATAAAAAGATTGATCGATAAATAATCTTATTCAATTATCAAACCCATAATCCGATAAATCTGAGAGAATATATATTAATAGATCGAAATATTTATAAATCAAATAGAAATTTCGTAGATCTCCAAAATAGATAGATTAATATATAGATAAATTGATAATCTTATATCCTAATAAATCGTTCAATAAATAAATTAATATATAGACAAATATTTAATGAAATTCATCAATTCTATCAATCATATATATTAGCGTAGTAAAAAATCAGATAATATTCGAAAAATTAATCGAGCACAACATTATAGATTTTTAAATATATATAAAACATCTTTTCATATCTCCTAAATCGATTATTTTGATATTTATCATTAGAAATTATTAATCATAATTTCTTCGAGATATTTCCAAAAAGATTAGAAGTCACGATCTATAACGACGAATAAATATAATGAAATATTTTCTTCTATGAAGAGAATGAAAGTCATGAATATCCTTATTATTATTCAAGAAAAATATTTTCGAATGAATTCAAATTAATATAATATGTTTCATTCATATTTTTATATGTCTTATTATATCTATAAAGTTGATATAATAATAATCTGCTATCATATTTTGTCAAAATCTAAATATCATTTTCGAATATTATTTTTATTTCTAAATTTCGATATGAAAGAATCTCTATAGAAATATTGAAATCTAATTTTTTCTCGAATTTAATATCTTCTTCTCAGAAAAGATCTCTAATACGTAATTCAGCATAAGAATTAGCATAAAGATCAATCTATTTAAATAAGCAATATATATATATATATATTAGAGCTGACCCGCTGCTTACAACAGCGGAAAAAACTTAGAGACAACTCATAACGGGAAGTCCAATGAATAAACAGCATATAAGATCGTACGTGAAGCCCGATGAATAATCAATATATAAAACCGTACGTGCCAAAAAACGGCCAACCCATAGATTCTGGAAGATTTTGGATCTCCACCCCTTGTCTATACGTTCTACCAAGCCGCCGCGCAGACAGCCAAATAGAGAATAAGAGAGAGAAATGGAGGAGAATGTCGGCGCTGGGGTGGATTAATGGGTCTGCCCCTCTTATCCCCCTTGCCCCACTTGCCTCGCTTGACCACTTGCCCCACTTATCCACTGGCCCTACTTGCCCCGAACCGAGTGGAGCGAGTGGGGCCAGTGGTGCGGGTGGGGTGAGTGGGATAGGCCGCGTTAATTTTCCCCTCTGCGGTCGCAGTGGAAAGAGACGGAATTCCTGCCCCATTTGCCTGCCCCTTGCCCCACTTGCCCCACTTGCCCCATTTGCCCCACTTGACCCAAGTGGAGCGAACGGGGCGAGCGGGGGAGAGTGGGACGGGCCGCGTTAATTTTCTCTCCCTGCGGTCATAATGAAAGAATTCGAAATCTCGAGAGATTTTTGGTCACGCGGCTCCCGCATCCGGCCCGAATTTTCCGCTTCATTTATCTCTCTTGGGCTATCTGCGCGGCGGCTGCTCAGGGGAGCGCATAAATCCCCTGGGACAGACACAGCCAACCTATAAATTCTGAAAGATTTTGGTTCTCCATCCCGGGTCTATGCGCTCCACCGAACAGCCGCGCAGACAGCCAAAGACAGATAAATCACGCGGAAGACCGCTCCGGAGGCAAGGGCCGCGCGACCAAAAATCTCCTGGTCGCGCCGCCCGCACCAAAAATCTCGGAGATTGTAGAGCCTCTAGCTTTTCCGAAGGGCTCTAAAATCTCCGAGATTTTAGAGCCCCTAGAGCAGGAAGCGTTTTAGAGGTGAGCCGGGAAAGCTAGGCCGCGCGCGAGCGAAATGGCCGCAAATGACCGTGCCGTAATATTGAGGAATATATATTTTTCCATTTTGATAGATGATCAGTTATATGTTTGAGAACCATTTATAAAGAATATCGTTTTTGATATTTTCAAGATTTTTTATTTATTCTTTTCTGCAAGGGTTCTGCAAGACTCTTGCCAATGGAATTCGTATTTCTTGGCTTCCTAGTCGCCACCCTGTACAACGTGGTAGCCACAAGCGGCTTCCCAAGAGCGGATTTCTCCTTGTTGGATATGCCCAACGGCTCTAAATAGCATTATGTTTCTGAATACCTATTCTTAGGGATGTGGGGGGTTTAGGGATCGGTGGTTTAGTGCTTAGTTCTAGGTAACATTATATTTGGAGCGGTCTTGAAGATCTTTGGCTAGCTTGCCATGAACCCTTTCAGTTTCATAACGATTAAGGTAACGGAGCTTTCTCCCGAATTCAGAACTGGCCTTGATAAATAGCAAGCATGTGCACGCGAGAGGTTGCTGTACGCAGATTAGCATCAACCAGTTTGCACGAGTTGCCAAGAAGGGAAGCACGTACCACAGTGTGGGTTCCGCTCTCAGGTGGTAGCCGAGCTTCTTTCTGTAGGAAGGGGCCGAGAATACGGAGATTAGCAAGCACAGGTTACCTCTGAGCATGCTTCAAGCTGCATTCCGCTTAGCCTTATGACAAGAGGTAGCCATGTTGCAAAGCACATGTCCCTAAAAGCTTTCACCTAAATCATGCAGCAGCTGAAGAACTGCTGCTTGAGGCATCATGCTCGATGCATATTGCAAAGCAGTATGCCCCTCATTGTCCGGAGCTGATAAATCAACGCCCAGCTCATGCAGGGTTGGTAGCAGGGCCAGATGACCGCAATACACTGCTCCATGCGCTGCAGTGTAGCCAAACTGGTCAGGGGTAGAAATGTCTGCCTTGAACTCGCTCAACTTGCAGAGCAAGATCTTCTGACCGCCTGCTGCTGCCTTGTGGGCTGGAAATTGCCCAACATTGTCGCGAGCTGACAGGTCAGCTCTTGCCTCCAGAAGAGCTCGCAGAACAGGGACGTGACCCCATGCCGCTGCCCAATGTGCTCCAGTGCCTTGATTGTAAAGACTTTGGGAAGAAAGCCTTCCGTTTCAACACAGTGGCCCTAGCAAACAAGACGTAGAAAGTACCAATGGAACTCCTGAGGTGCACCCGTTCCGGTCCCGCGACGAGAGCTCAGCGCCAAGCTTATGCAGTGTTCGTACCACAGCATCCTGTCCCCTGGTCGCTGCCAACAGAGCAGGACTTTGCAGGTCGTCATCTTGGGCTGACAGATCGTCAGCCCTGCCAAGTTCCTTTTTGAGCGCCTCCAGCACCCGGACGTGACCAAAGGTTGCCGCCCTATGCCTTAGTTGTCCAGTACCCATGCCTCAAAGAAAAGTGTATAAACTTTCCCTTCAGAAGGAGTTTAATAGGACCCACAATTTTAAGGTTTGGCTACTGTACCACCGAGATGCGCAAGGGTCTTTCCGGTGTTGTCTTTCAAAGACAGGTCGGCTCGGAGGTTTAACAGCTTTTGGAGTGCAGCCTCCTGGCCGTTGTCCGCGGCTGAGTGCGCCGGAGTGGCTCCCAGGATATCCGCGACATCCAAGTTGTAGCCCAGCTGCTTCAGCAACTCCAGTGCGGCATCTTGCCCTTCAGCTGCTGCTACATGTGCTGGAGTGTTACCATCTTTTCCTGCATTGTTGGAATGAAGGAAGGAACCCTGCAACCAAACAAAGACAGCCACAAAAACACTTCACAAGGCGAGTTCCTCTAGCTAGGCTGATGCCGAGGTTGTGAAGCTCTTGCAGCACCCCGACATGACCCGCAGTGGCTGCCACGTGAGCTGCGGTGTACCTCTCTTCTTCAACACCCGCACCCAAAAAAGGTTCCTGATGAAGACGAAATGTACAAACCAATTTGCTTGAAACGTTTTCGCTTTGAAGAGCAAGGTACCCTCTTTTGTCCGGATTTGACAAAATTGCACCAAGCATCCTCAGAAATGGCATCCCTTCTCATGATTCATTACTACTTGTCTTGAAACGAGTGCTCTTCCTAGTATGGCGTCCAGTATAACTTACTGACAGTCACTAGCATTTATCGCATGCCCCCTCTGACGCTTCTTCCACTGCTGCTTGCCCGGGCTGGGAAAGCTATACCCTTTCTGTACCTTCAAGGGCCCCTAGCAACACCTTAACAGGCTAAGTGCCTGTAGGCCATAGGGGCCCAGACTCTGCCACCAAGCGTCTTCAGATCTTTGAATACGCCTTCGTGACCTCTTGCTGCGGCCTTGTGGGCTGCGGTGCTGCCGCTCTCATCTCGGCTGGACACAGAAAGACCTAGCTCCTTGAGCTTCCTCAGGACGCCTCCATGACCATGGGAAGCTGCTACATGCACAGGTGTTTGTCCACTCTTGTCTCTCGCAGACAGGTTCACGCGTAGATCGTACAAGGTTTGCAACACCTCTGCCCGAGCATTTGCAGCTGCCTCATGCGCAGGGGTAAGCCCTGTCTTGTCCTGGGTTGCTGTTAAGGAACTTAGAATCAAGTGACCATCATGGGTATATGCAGGAATTAATGTGGTTTCCCCAATATCGTAACTAAAACTCAGTTCCTTAACAGCAACCCAGTGTCTCCCTGCGAAAGGTCGACTCCCAGCTCTAGGAGTTCGCCAAGAATGCAATCTTTGCCAGCAGCGGCGGCGGCATGCGCCGCAGTCTTTCCAAGTTCATCTTGAACAGCGAGGTTTACACCCAGCTTCTTCAGGGTCCGGAGCACGTTTACCTGACCTGGGCGTTTCCTTATCCAGGGCTACAAAGAAAGTTGCTTGTGGTTCAGAAAGGGAGTCCCGCTTTAGCTTGTCCCCACCTTCAGCGGCCGCCACGCGCACCAGACTGGTGCCCTTCTTGGGAAAGTCAACATCAAACTCCTGGGGGATTATCAAGGACAGTTCCAGGTGG